TATATATATATTATGTTCATTAACTTAGAACTAATTAGTTGGATAATGCCAAGCTCTTAGTAAGTTTTAAATTTTAACGTCAAAATATTTTTATCTCTGTGTTAAAATTTGTTGCCTTTCTTGTTCTTGTCCTCTTCCCTGTCTAAGTTTTAACCCTTATGCTCAATAATTTTCGAAACTGTTGAAGAAGAGAATGCTAATATTGTCTATTACTGAAACATGTTACATGCTATTCGTTCTATTTGAGGATAGATAGATGCCCTGGTCATCATGTAAATCATCATTTCAAATAATTGTACTTTTTACTTTCTTTTTGGACAAAATGTATTTGTACATGTCGGACGTTGTTGATTAGCAGTGACAACTCAGCTATTTTTACTACTAATATTCTTGCTCATAATAAATCCTAATAAAGGTGTCTTCAATCGATGGCATACCATCACACTTTTGCCAAGTACTAATGCATGGCGGAAAATTGTCCTTGTATGAAGGCTGAGTTGAGCCTCAAAATTATCAACCCACAATGGACCCCTGTCAAGTCTAAAAATTGTCCATGCATGAAGGCCTAGTCAATCCTCAAAGTTATCTTCATACCATTGACCCCGGTCAAGTCAAAAGAAATGTATGAAGGTCGAGTCAAGCCTCGAAATTATCGAGATAAACTTGATCTCAATCAAGCACAATATGCATCTGGTGATTGATCGTTTAATTTCCTACAACTGAACGGGATCGTAAACAGTAATAAAGTAGTGAATAGAGTGTCGAACCCATGATAATTATATACTTAATCTAATGTTAGTTAATTTCAACCTTAATTGAATAGCCAATTTAGTTTGAATATTTATACTAAATGGTCTAATTATATTAACTAAGCTAATTACGAAGGTTTTTGTCAAATATGTGAGATGAATAACAAGAGCCGGCCTTTTACTTCCAAAAACCCTCCTTAATAGCTAAGGTCCTATTCAGATCTGCCTGTGCGTGATGAAGTAAGTCACTCAGCGTCTCTAACTCTTTGGAACACATCACTAAATACCCATCGATTCCACCACCTTAGTCCCTATTTCAGCTTAAAGAAATTTTCTCAAAGGGCAGCCATTCTTGTAAGATAAGTAGGAAGTGACCACTTTTGAGAAACGAACGCGGAGAAGTCATGATGTTTCGTCCTCACATTGAAGACTCTAAATGGTCTAGGACCTAAATCATCATCAAAAATCCACTGTGAGAGTAAAGGTGAGCGATCAGATGAGGTACGATTCAGATGAGTCACAGTAAGTTGTCGACAAAAATTTACAGCTAAAGAGTTAATCAAGACTCTATCCAATCTTTTACTGACCCTGCCATTCGACCAGGTAAACTGAGACCCAGAAAAGGTAGCGTCCTCTAAGCCACAATCAAACATCATATCAGAGAAATCAGTAGAACGTCGATCTTGGCGACTATATCCAGTACGCTCACCATCATTCGTGATGACATTAAAATCACCCCAACAAGCTAAGGATCA